AGGGCTTTTTCCAATACCTCCACCAACAAACAATCCTCCTCCGCCGCTAACATTTTTAATTGCTTTACAAATTCGGGCTTTACCCGTAAACCTAATTGCTTGGTTCTCCCCGTAAAACGACTATCACGAGGAGCTAGTTCAGGAGCTTGGAGATTTTCGCTTATTTCTTGGGGGGCTAAACCTAAACCTTTANGCTTAATTTTTTCTTTTCAGTTCATAAATACAGCTAGAATTATATATATAGTTTTATAGAATTATAAGTAATTCAAAATCTCATTCACTAACTCTTTGGCTTGCTTGGCTAATTTTTTATATTTTACTTCTCCAACACTACCTCCCTCATTCTGAATTTGCTTATAAGAGGCTTTTTCATAAAGATAAGCCTCCGAAAATTTATAACTGGTATCTTTTAAATATTTTTGAATTGCTTTGGCTTCGGCTGGGCTAGATAAACGAGTTAGGACAAATAGCAGCTTTTTGGTAGAAACACCCGCTTTTACTAACGCATTAAACTCCTTAACGGCAGGAACTAAATCATCNCGGCTGGCTCCGGTNGGTTGAATNATTANGTNGGCNNCTTGGGCGATTTCNAGGGTGGCATGACTGGTGCGGGCGGGTCCATCAATAATTAGTAAATCATATTGGGAACTTTCCCGCAAGGCTTTTTGGATGGTAGGGAAAATTTTCACCTCAAATTTAGATTTTTTCCGCAATTGTAATCAGTGATAACTAGTAGCTTGCTGGGGGTCGCAATCGGCTAACAGAGTTTTAAATTTGTGGCGGGAGGCTTCCACGGCTACCGCTCGGGCGAGGGTGGATTTTCCCACTCCTCCTTTTTGGCTGATAAAGGCGATTATTGTCATAACTTTAACCGGTATTGGAGAGAAAAAAGTTTAATTAAGGTTTCATCCACTTTCAGCATGGTTTTTTTATCTAATTCACCTAATTTATCTCCTAATCTTTGTTTATCAATTGATTTCACTTGGTCGCACATGATTTTTCCACTCTCAATTAACAACTCAATCGGATAATAAATTTTTCCAGTTTTAGTAGAAAAAGGTAGCACAATTAANCGCTTACTGACTTCGTTTTGTCAATCATTACTAACAATTACGG